TTTTAAGTATGTGGGTAAAATGTTGTATTTGGTGGGAAATTCTCCCTTGGCGTGATAACATATGTCATGACTAATTGATAAATGTGTAACAATTTACATGTGTTGTAAGATGCCATAGTACCAATATATTTTTTGTAAGCTTCTTGATATAAATTATGGCCGTTACTATTTTATTGTAATTGTTTCAGGGCCATTTCTCCATTTCCATATCTGAATAAAACCGATCACAACCCCACAGCGAGTCATGTCTTGGCGTCTAACCAGCTGTAACATCATCAATCCCAATTGCACGGATCGATGCTCATGATATTAATCACTGGATTGTCTGGTCCAGACTCGATTATTTTACAGACCGACGTCATATAGATGGAATATTGCTGAGTGCGGCGTTAAACAACAAACCAACAACAACATTTGGGGTTAGAGGCCAAATTTCAATTCTTGTAATGGCCGCGTCCACACTGGTGGCAGCGATGTTGATGAGTGTAACGAAGGTGGCACGCGCTGGGAAGGAGCTTGTCACTCTTATAGACCTTTTTCACCATTCTTCACCACTCCCCCATTCCCGTAACCTGCACAGAAGATTTTTCGCTATTTGGCTTGTCTGGAATAACACGAGTTGGTCACGAATGCCTTTTCACACTTCGCTACTTCCGGTTTTAAAGCGAGACTTGGAGAGCAGAAGGTGAATGCTGGATGGCACATGCTACACATGGAGATGTCAACAAGGCACGCAATCGGGACAAACAGTGACAATTTAACCATTTCAGTACTATCACGGCAACATTTATCGTAAGTGTTGAACATTATTCTTATCGATCACTGACAAAATATTCCACTGTTATCTGGCCTCGTTACTGATATAAAATTAGGAAGTGAGTCTGGCCGTTCTGTTGTGATTTCAATTTCAAATATCCATGGCCACCTGGTAACTCCCAGTGCACTTTATGGTAGCTGAACAGACTTAGACGTTGGATACAATAGTTCGTGCATGCGCACCTCAGCACGCCGTTGCACGCGAGTTTACCGTGATGAATTACCTCCCTTGACGCGCCCTGTCTCCTACGCAAATTGGTGGTCGAAGCAACATGATGTCCTTTTATGATTGTGGAAACCTGCAACATGTTCCTTCCCAAACATGAGCCGATAAGTAATAAAAATAACTGTTCCAATGCATTTCTGAATTTTCAGATGCAGTGGGAAAACAGTGTGTAGCGTACCTACACATTTTTTAGTAACTTGGCACATTTTATTCTCCTCCCTGAACGAGAGGCATGGCTATTTATGATTAAGTAATTGCTATAAATGGATAAACAGAGAGCATTGTAGAACATCAAATCTGCCTATTATGTTATCTACCGGTAAACAACACTCAATGACAAGCATAATATGTGATTGATCATATCTAGATAATGAGTTATCTCCCTTTTCAGGTTTCAGGAATGGCATCCCTCGCCTTTTTTTTGGCATGCAAATACTCAATATTTGGCATGGAGACCTACAGATTTTTTTCTAAATATATGCTGCTTGGTGGATATTGTACGTTATGTGTGAAAATGGTCACTCTGTAGTGGGTTTTGATCTTCTAAATAACTATTTACATGAGTTATTTCTCCTTTGATACCCGAGCCACATTAAATATGTTGCTATTTACACTCAATTGTTTCTCGACTTGTATGTAGTTAAGATAAATAGTAATAAATACTACAAAGTAAGTTTAATAACACTATTAGGTTAATGTGTTTCAAGGAGTCAGCTTAAGCAATGTTTTATAGTGATGGTAAATCATGTTATTTGAGGCCTACCCCACTATAGGTGGGTACCACCTACAACAAAATATAGCATGGAAAGGTATTGTTGTTGTTTTATTCGGTACAAGTATACTATACTCTCTCTTCATGTTATATCTCAGAGGGTTGTAGTGGGTTTCACTTTTTGTGTCCAGCGTCTTTGATACAAATCCTACTGGGATCATGTAAGGAATAATTCATTGTTTACACACCATTAACCCAAACTATATATTTATGTGTTTTAGTCAAGGAATGAGTTTGAATAAGTTAACGAGTTGTAGGCCTAGTTGTAGTTGAAGTCTAGAAAATATTGACCTTTTGACCATATCTATATAGATGTCAGAAACTAACTAAATTGATATGTTGATTATATTTATCTTATTGTAACCTATTGAGAATTCACAGTCATAAACAAATCAGAATTTTGCATCAGTTGTGTAATTGATGTTAACTGTAATGGACTCAAATTGGACATTCCAATTACAATATTAGACCTCTAGTAGGGCTGGGACAGGTAACTCGGGTACCCGGGTCGGCTGGGTCCTGAGTAAGGACCCGGGTACCCACAGGACTACCCGGACCCGTAGTTAGTCACGTGATATATATTGTTTGATGACAAAAGTTATCTTAAACTCTATGGTTACACTATAAGTCACTAATATCCCATTTCTTTCTGACAATGCACTCATTCCTACTGACTTTTATATATTTGAATAAAGATAAAACTTCATGCATTAAACTTCAGTGTATGCATGAGCGGATCGTCTTACACGTGTATCTAAATACATTTTGCCAGGGCTACGGTAAAACTTTTCCAAATTGGACAGTTTGTACCTATCTCTAAAAATCTACAGCAGGTACGCGGGTAGGGTCAGGTAATAGGGAGGTGGGTACCCGGGTAGTAAATTTGGACCTGTCCCAGCCCTAACCTCTAGGTCTACTAGTGCTGCTGTGATTGTGAACAGTAGTTATTTTAATCATCAATGTTGACAGACTAGATAGCATGAGATGTAAAATTTCAACTGAATTATTACATAAAGGGTGTGTAAATATTTAAAGTGAAGTACAGTTTGATCTGCAATTTTGTAAACAATATTTCTACCAAAATGATTTTTACTTTTCTGTACCAAATTAATCATGTCATGAAATGAAGAACCCAACTAATTAATGGCCAGTAAATCTACCTGTGATTTTTATGTAATGTACAGAAACAGATAACTCTTCAACAGTCTGTATTCAAATATTTCAAATTCATAAACTGAGATTGAGATTTCTATAAACAGAATTATTTTTATGAATGTTGTGTAATTCCCATGGGTATTGCAATCATAACTCATTTATTCCCTTTGTTTAATTGTGAAATCCATCTTGTTTTATGTACTCAAACATGTTTTGAAGCTGTTAAAAAAATAATTTCTCTTGTGCAAGCAATGCCATGTAATTTATTATTGATTATTAATCATATTACGTGCATATATAAGATAATAGTTGTGCTTACAGTGTGCAATAATTATATTATGATGTAATATTTTGGTATTGTTAACAATCTTTAGAACTTTATTTTAATCAAGTCAAGTGGTGTGATCATTTTGATAATTCAATCAAGACAAGAAATATAAAAATGTATAAATACATAATGGAAATTTGTTTTCCTTGTCAAATAAAGATGAAAGCATGCATTTATCTCATCTTGTGATCTGACAAAGTTAATATTTTCATGAGTGTCACAGCCACAAGTCAAAATATCAACTTTAGTAAACCACAAGGTGAGATAAACATTTCATTTGACTAAACAACATTCATATTCTATTATCATTGTGATCTTCATTACCTTACTTGGAAAACCATAGTGTCAATGAGGCAGACTGACTGTAGGTGTGACAAAACATGATATTTCACCTGATTTTAATAATCTTATTTATTTCACTCAAGCGAAAGTATGTTTTCAGTATGGTCAGACCAAACAAAGTATTTCATGATTAAATACATAATACAAATATCAAAACCTGTCTATTGTGTTTACACAGAAGATACTGTTTGGTTTTTAGGCATATCAGATGAATTGATACCTTCAAGATTGTTCTAAAGTAGCATGTAATATTTCTCTGTTTTAGAAGAATGTTGTTTTCTGAATAAGCAATATTTTGTGAGAAGGTGACTGCATTGTTTATTTTTAAAAAATCATAGAAGTAGAAATATTATTACCAAATTATTGAATTGTTTATTTCACCCTTTGAGTCCAGAGCCTCAACACAATGAATATCTACACAGTCTACAGAATCCACTCTGTTGATTTCCTTTTTTCACGGAAGAGATATATGCTGAAGCTGAAACCATCTGCAGTGATGGATGTTACAATGTGCTTCCCGCGACACATTTCACTTAAATAGGAAGAGGAAGTGAAAAGCCTTATTCACTCACTCAACAACAGGGCCAATATTTATCACATTCATGATGTTTGAATTTAACTGTTCTAAAAAAGCACATTGCACCATTTGTTTACAAACAAGAAAATTGTTTACTCCTGGAATTTAATTAGGTGCTTTTGACTGACAAAGACACCTGGGCCATGTTAAGTTTTGAAATGTCTGTATAACTGAAGATAAACAAGCTTATATTCTGAGAAATAAAGACATGAAAATTTTAGTTTGTTTTTCTTTGTTTAATATGAGGAATCCAGGTGATTTTAGATAGCTGCATCACAGGCACTCACTAATATCTGACCATAAGATAAATCAGAAATATTTAATTGAACCAACACACAATCTATCTGCCTGTTCTAGATATAAGAATTGATTTATATCTGGTGTCCCCTCCTGTGATATTACTGGATACTCACTTACTCAGGTTTTGGAAACAGAAAAAATAACAATGTTTGGGGATGATATGTCAGATACTTTTTGCCCCGACCCACTTTGACATTTTATTACTGACTGAACAGACTTCGAGAACATTATGCAACAAGATGAAATTTTATTCTATTTTTGTAGGGGTGATAGAGGAGGTGCAAGAAGGTGACTTAAGGCTGCATCAGCAATATTCCAGTATGATTAAATTCCATTTGGCAGCTATGAGCAGTAATTTGTATTTGTGAATATCCTCCACAGTTAAAATTAATTGCGGCGCCCATACTGTAGGCACGAAAGGCCGCTGTAACTGTCGTGCCAAACAATACGTCTATTTGTCCTTTGTTATTCGCCTCGATTTGATTGGCGACATCTTCCCGGCATGCAACTTTAAAGTAACCCGCGGCTGATCGACACCCAAGTTATTTGCTGCAGACGAGCACGTGGGGAACTTTCACTCGTGAAACAGATCGACATTTGAATTGTCCAGAATGAACGGATATATTGTAGCAGTTTTGGCTTCTGTGCTGTTTGGAGGTATGTAGACCGTAGCGTTCTCAACAGGTAGTTTACCTGTAGTTTGTTCAGCCTTCACGCCGGGACCTTTACTTGTGGGGAACAACCCTTATAACTCTGAAACGTGCACGCGTATGCCCGAAAAACATTCTAGTCAAATAATGTTTGAGTTTTATATTATCGTTTCATAATTATATGGGTTACTATCACTAACCAGGCCATGGAGCGGTCGGCCGACTAGCAGCCCTACCTGGTAATCTGAAGCCATGGATGACCCTGTTGGCAGGTGCCTAGAAAAATAACTAAATATGTCGGCTGCAGTTAGTTCGTGACAGACTGTATAACATTCATGTGTTGCCCTAGAGGCTATATCATAACTAATTTATGAATGTTGTATAAAAGAGAACATTTTGCATTCTCTAATGTTTTCTTCCAAATATGATATTTTGTACGTGTAGTTTATAATTATCACATAAAAATTCACAGCATTCCATTACGCAAAGACAGACCGTCATGTCGTATATTGCAAAAGTTCACAATCTGTGTCGCATTCTTGATCAGTGTGTGCAAAGGACCGTGACCCCTGGAATGCAGGGGGTATACGTCATGGGCAGGACAAGAGCCGTCGTGGATTCCGCTCTAACTTGGCGCCTAAGGCCGACCTTGAGATGGAGACGTTCTCTGAATTCACTGCATGTCTATGAAACGGGTTATAGCTAAAACGGCACCTCCAACTATATTCCAACTTAGCCTATACTCAACTTATTGTGAAAACATAACATGCTTTGCAGTAACATAAATGAAATCACACCCACATCGTCTCTTACCAACACAAATAATTGTGAAATGTTAAAACAGGTTTACCTTAGAAATTAGCCCCCCTATTCCAATTTACTCGCCGACTCTAATTAGGAGGCGCAGCTAACTTATGGTGAAAACATTATACGCTTTGAAGTTTTAAAGGAGCACTAATCTCTGGCTGCTTTCACGGCTGTCTAGACACTGGCCGCTGGGGCTGGCTCATTAGCTGCCGTGAGTCGATTTGCTCGCCAACGCAACAGAGTGACAAGAGACTGGGCTACCGTCTGTTAAGACAACTCTTACGCATTTTTTAACACTTGTTGGTTACCCGTGATCTATGAAGATTTCGGCAAAGGGCGCATGTTGATTAATTTCTACAGCCTAAACAGACAAAAAGAACGGCGGAAGCTCATCGGATGTCGTCATTTGGAAATACCCCTGATGGTTATAGTTTATTAATAAAAAAGTATCCCTGCAGTGAAAACATTTTCGGATTTCGGATTGTGTGGATAATACGGTTACTGCCCCCTTGTCATCCACGTTTTCTGATTGGTCCTACACTTGTGTATTTGTCGTCATTCAATAGATGCTCAGTTAATGGATTTATTAGTGGCAGCACCACTCACATTACCCGATAAAGGTTCCCATATGACATTTCTTGTGCCTGGGGTAATTATTCAATCTAAATCCAGGGTTAAAGTGAGGTGAAATGTGTGTTATGTGATATGCACGTGGCAGCCCAGCAAGAGATGAATGATCAGTTGATTTACTTTTTTGTAAATTATCTATAGTGTTTTTTTTTGTAAATCAACTGAGCCATCAAAGGATCAACAGAAAATACGTTGATTGATTTATCACTGTTATCTTGCACAGTGGATATGTCAGAAAGTAAGTGTTTACATGTGTAGGTTTACTAAAGCAAAGGGAATACACTTAATCATGTCGTGAAGTGCCGATGTAAAAACAACAAACTTTGTTTAAAGGGTTAACGGATAATAGGTTGATTGATTGCTCATTGTCATCTAACGCAGTGGATTTTTGTAAGAACCGTGGACATTATGGAAATAGTTGTCACGTGGGCTTTCTCAGCTGACATTTGAGACTTGACACCAATGTGAAACACCTGAAACAATCTAAGTGATCAGTTGAGAAACGAACACAGTTTATAAAATCCCGAAACGATATATATATTTTAAAATATTTGATTGATACAGACACGTGACATCGAAAAAGTTTCTTTGTACAGCTGCAGATGTGTGGGATATTGTTCCTTTATGTGGATATTAACGGATACATTCCCCGAACAAGGAAGCTGCCTAAAATTATACATATTAATTTGATAGGTTGTAATTATGATATTTGCATTTTGTTTTTCTTCATTTGCTGCAGCATTGAACAGATTTGTTCTTGTTCATCTACGTCTCGGTTGGGAAGTTCTTCGATGCGCGAAAGACGTATTTTCCTTTGTAAGCATGCATATATTACAGTCAATTTGTAAAATGTGATTTACTCAGGCAATTTATGAAATGTCTAAATATTTCAGTCGTTTTACAAATTGACTGAACAATGTGTCCATTTATTTAAGAGAATGACTAAAAATGATTAAGACGACCAAAAGGGCTTATAAACAGCACAGTAGATTAGTAATGCTAGGATTAGAAGCCAAACAATATACACGTGTACTTTTAATCCTAACATTTTCAGTCACTTGGTGATGATATTAAACATAAAAAGTATTGGAATTTGTTATCATAATACTGATGGACATATTTTTCAGTCAGTTTGTAAAATAACTGAATATTTAGTCGTTTAATAAATTTCCTAAGTGAGAATTTTGTACATTTTGACTGTTAAAATATAAACACTATAAAATAAGCAATGCTCAGGTGAAATATTTACTTTGTGTTGCAAGTCATAATAGTGTACACGAAAATCGCACAATTACCAAGCAAGTGACTTATCAAAACTTCGTCACCATTACCGATGCTACCCACAAAGATACCTACATTTCCTTATTATTTCCCAAAGCTATTTCATTTTGTCGATCAATGTGAGCATCCGCCCTTATACTATCAATAAAGGTGACAAATGCGCTTACGAATGGCGCAGCACAAGTCGCAAACTAGTCTAGATTTCTTGGATATCATCCGGATACTCACGGGAAAAAATAATAACAAAGGCAACAACCAGTCCCGGGGAATTGCTTTAGATCAGATCCCCTTTAAGTACCTTAAATTTACTCAATTAAACTCGATGTCAAGCTCAAACTGTATTTAGATACATCAAATACACCAGATAAACCATATATAGTACTACACAAATCGCTCTTATCGTTATTTAAAATACAGGTGCCGTTTTGGCCCGACACATTGTAGCCGTTTTGCTGCGGTGCCGTTTTAGCCTTTGAAGCCTTTGTTTGATTCAGCCTGACCCAGGCAATGACTGCACAAGGCCCGCCTCCACTTAACGAACAAACACGTCGTTACACCAAATGTATTTACAATTGAAAAATGCTAGAGCGGGTGGTTATAATTTTTTCTTAGCATTGTCCATTAATGCTCTTGCAATGTATACGTCACGAGAATAATGTCAATTGTTACTTTTAGCGAAGGAAAACATTATTTAAGCTGTTTGGAGACTAGAAAGTGGTCGTCGCATCGGTGAAATGTAAACAATGACACACCCCATTTTCAACAATGATATTTTCGTTAATATTTCGTGTCAGCTCACTGTTGTCACGAAATCGTACACATAATACATGGAATTAAACGACCACGTTAATGAAATACCGTTAGCATCTTTATTTTAGCAAATCTGATGACGCAAATGTCGCCAATTATGACCCGTTTTCTCCCATTGTAAAAAGGTGTGTTTGGAGGGGTTATTGAACGCCCAGTATAATAACTAGAAAAACAAACAAACACTTTTGATCCGTAATAATGGTATTTAATGATAGTGTCTGTCATTGGTTCTGACATTTGGCCTTTGGATTTTATTCACATGAAAAGCCATTTATTTGGCATTTGTTTTCTTATTACACAATGAAATTAATCATAAATAGATCTAATAATTTTGGAAACATTGGATTAATTTCAGTCAAGTGTTTCTGAACTTTGTGTGAGCTTGTAAAAATGTTGCGTCTGAATGGGATTATAATGAGGATTATGCTCATAATTTTGAATTAATTTGGTACAGTGGCATACACATGCATGTGTATTCTATTTGATGCAATATAGCCATTGGGGAATCCGTGTACAGAACAACGCAATGAAGTGTGCATACCATTATTATTGAAAAATAGTTATGATAATAATCATTATGTTAGACGAAATATCTGTGTACGATATTATCTACAGATTAACTACTCGAATAAAAGAAATTAAGTTACATTATTGCTCAAGCATAGGAAAAGAAAACCAATATGATCATGATGGTAATACATAACATTAAAAGTGCACAGAAAATGTAATACTTGAGGATGAAAGCTGGAGTACTTTCCAATATTTTTGTGTGAAGTGTTGAATTAAGGGTGGTGATTACCGGGTAGCAATGGAACCTGTCTTGACTATGTGTACCATAGTTTTTGGGGCTTAAAGCCAGGATCCAAGCATACACTGACATCATTCAGCGCATGATATACATGTAGATCTGACAAAAGTAATACATCACATACATGTAATATGTCATCAGCCCCGCTCTCATGTAGCTGGAAAATTTCTGAGTGTACCTTACACAACAAATAAACAAACAAACATTTATTCAGCCAGTGGATAAAAATGATGCATTTGAATCTGTTTGCTTCACTCTAACTCTTTAACAGTACTTCTTCCATGCCTGGTTCAACACCGAATCTTTGAATTCAGGAGAATTTGTACTGAACTTGTTGACCAATTTTACATTGTAATTATCCCCCGCCCCAACGAAGTTGGCGGGGGATATAGAAATGGGTTCCGTCCGTATGTGCGTGCGTGCGTGTGTGCATCCCGAAATCGTTTCCGGAAACCGTTAAATATTTCTCTACGAAACTTTGCATGTCTATCAGACTGATGCTGAACTGGTGCCTTTTGCTATTTGGGAATTTTATAAATTTTTATTTTTTACGTTTCCATTGCAACAAGTTGGACTTAGGTTCTATAAGGGGCTGTTCGTTTCCGGAGCGTAACTAAAAAACCGTTAAATAAATTCTTACAAAGCATTGCATGTTTACCAGACACATACTG